CGAACTTAGTCCCGCCCGTCCGCCTTCGGTTCGTCCACCACACACACACACACACACGGCGCACACGCGACACACACCCTGCGCTTTGCAGTTGCAGACATGACGTGACTGACACTGGGCGGGTTCACGCAGGCAACTTGGCGAATCTGACTTCGCTCGACGTGAAGGACAACCGCATCAAGGACCTTCCGCCCGAAATCGGATATCTGAAGAACCTGCGGGAGCTGATGATCGACGGCAACAAGCTCAACGCTCTGCCGGCCGAGTTCGATGAGATCGAGGACTCCATTGAGCGCTTCACCTACGACAACAACCCCTTCTCCAGCAAGCTTCTGACCTTTGACCACGACGAGCTCTACGATGAGGGAGACGTACGTCGCGCACGCTCGCTCACTCACTCACTCCTTGCCGCGCGCGCACCGCTCAACTCCTGACCTTTCTGCCTTGACGTTGTGAATATAGGAGGAGGACTTTGCCTTCTCCGACGAGGACGGCGACTGGGAAACCAAGCTCGTCTTCCAGATGTTGAAAGATGGTAAAGTGCCCCCCCCCCAACTTTCCCTAGGCATAGCCCGTTATATTTCTTTGCGCGAAGTGGTCGAGAAATGAGGAGAATTCTGGGCGCTCGCAAGCTAATAGCAATGATTTGATCGATAGGCGAGGTGTTCATCCGACATGAGAAGGGGAAGCCGGGCCAGCAGGTGCACTTGCAGATCTCACCCGAGCTGGACACCATCAAGTGGACCCAGCGCGGCCCGCGCCTCAGGCGCCAAACTTCGTGGTCGGGCTCTTCCAAGCCCGGTAACCCACCCAGGCCCCCATCCCCCCACCCGATGGGTTTCCCTGGAAGTTGCTGACCGGTTTCATTGTCGCCTGACCAGGCGTGGTGACCGAGGGGAAGGACTCGGACAAGAAGCAGAGCGAGCTGCGCTATCTGAAGGGCGGCACCGTGCGCGTGGGCGGCGGCTCGCGGCTGGGCGGAAGCGTCGCGCGCGCCACGCTCGACACCGACATGTTCCAGCCCCGCTCGCCCCGCTCTCCGCGTGCGCCCGGTACAGACTTCGACGCTTGTCTTTGCGTGTCTCCCTCATCTATGACTCACTTTCATCTTCGCAAACGTGCCAGGCAATGCTGCGGGCCTGATCGGACAGGCGGGAGCCGCGCTCGAGCCAAAGAAGCAGGAGGAGAAGAAGGAGCCCAACTCCATCACCATCGCCGACGTCGAGGAAGTGGCCGTGGGCAAGGAAGCCGTCAAGCACGTCGAAGGGGCCAAGGTACCGCCATCGGCTCTTCTCCGAATTTTTAACCTGCCCTGACCACGTCTCGTGCCCTGATGTTTCACCCCCACAAGGTGGTGAGCGAGGACCTCTGTTTCTGCCTCGTGTGCCCCGAGAGGGCGATCCTTCTCGAGGCGCGCTCCTCCGCTGAGAGGGATGAATGGTACGTTGATCACCGCGTCACGCATGCGTCCATACATTGGGGTGGGGGACTCACGCGCATGGGTCACTGCAGGGCGCGCGCGTTCTTGATGCTCCTCAAGTACTGGATCAAGGGCACCATCAAGGACAGCGACGACGAAGAGGAGGAGGAGGACGCCGCCACGTCGGACGAGGAGGACAGCATGCAGCAGAGCCGCGACGACGACAGTAGCGCCGGGTCCATGCAGCAGAGTCGCGAAGACGACGAGTCGACCATGTCGCAGTCCGCCGATGCCGTCCTGCTCGCCGAGTCACCGTCCACCATCAAGAAGAAAAAGAAAAAGGCATGCTCCCCCATTCTTGGCACGTATGCGTGCGCTCGGCCAACTTTACTAATCAATCCCGTTGTGTGTGTGTGTGTGTGTGTGTGTGTGTGTGTGTGTGTGTGTGTGTGTGTGTGTGTGTGTGTGTGTGTGGTGTGTATCGCATGTGTCGCTATATTCCACTCCAATGCAGAAATCCAAGTTGGCTTCCGGCGAAAGCAAGAAGTCGAGCGGCAAGAAGAAGAAATCCAAGAGTGGAGAGGGCAAGTCGAAGAAGTCCAAGTCGACCATCGCCAGACCGGGCGCCGACGAAAGCGAAGCCGCGGCCGCAGAGGGCGACAAGAAAAAGAAGAAGAAAAAGAAGAAGACGGAGGACTCCGGCAGCACGCTGAAGAAGAGCAAGACCAAGAAGCTCAAGAGGAAGAAGACCAAGAAGTTCGCCAACCGTGCCGAGGAGCTCGCCGACATCGAGCAGGCCATCCACTCCGGCGAAGTCGTACGGCTCTCACTCTTCACTCTCGTCGCTCCCTTCGCCAACGTGCTGACCTGTTTGGGACTGATCGCTCTTTCTCTTTGCGTGCGTTTGGGCTTCGATCTGCAGCACGATGACGAGATGCGGAAGATGGTGGAGGAGATCCGTCAGTTGGAGGCCGAGACCTCCAAGCTCGAGGCCGAGGAGATACGCAAGAAGGTGGAGGAGGCC